AGGATTTAAAGAGATAAGGATTACAAACAAGATCCGTGGAAGGGTGGGCGAATCTTGTATGATCAACGCTCACCTTACACAATTGAGGATCGATAGCTATGTAAGCATCCAGCGCGGAAATGACACAGCATTACTGGGTGAAGAGCTTTCTAGACTGAAATCTGGCTGCTGTCCTGCAAACCGCCGGATTCCAACCCGACTTCTGCAAGTGGATTAGCCTCCTGTATCGCTCCCCCAGTGCTGTGGTACATGTGAACGGAAAGCGGTCGCGCGCTTTTGCGCTGTCTCGGTCGGTTCGTCAGGGTTGCCCACTGTCGCCCATACTTTACGCTTTGGCGTTGGAGCCTCTCCTTCGCCGGCTGAGGAACGGGCGTGCAGTCCGGCCCTACGTGGAATCGCTGTCCCTGGTGGGTCTCGAGCCAGGGTTTCTGCGTACGCCGATGACTTATCCATTTTCGTGTCGTCCCGCGGCGACATTGAGGTGGTACAGAAGGCGCTTGAACGGTACGAAAAGATCACAGGGGCCAAGATTAACCGTAACAAGTCTTCCGGCTTGCGGTTAGGTGCCTGGAAGGGGATCTCTCTTCCAGGGCCCTTCAGTTGGACGGACGGTCCTGTACGCATTCTCGGAGTGTGGTTTTGACCCGACTTCCAGCTGGAGAAAAATTGGTCAGAAGTACAGGCAAAGGTTGGAGCGTCGGTCCGGACTTGGCTCCGAAGGGGGTTGTCCTTGAAGGGTAGAGCGAGGCCTGTGCCTCTTACGTCTTTCCTTTCGTCCTTTACCGCTTGGCTGTAGACTAGGCGGACCGACATTTTAACTGCACGAACAGAGACGCTAACATTCAACTTAGCTATTTAAGCCAGACGTAAAAATTCAAGTAGCTTTTACTACATGAGTTGTTACTCATATAAAATTTAATCATGTCTTTCATTGCTTAACTTTAATGATCAGACAGGAACCGCTACTTTCTGTGTGAATTAACCTATATATGCTGTATAATCTCTGATTTTTGGCTTGAATCTCATTGGTGATTTATTAGAGGTTTTCATTGGTGCATTCTGAATGTTCCTCTTATTCGAAATAAAATCTTATGCAAAACTAAGTTTATATTTGATTATTAATGAATTTACACTACTTTTATCATTCTATGACAAGTAATCAATAACAGAGAAATACCAAGTTTGGCTAAAAATAAAGCAAAAAGAATGAAAAGCGTTCAAAGATTTTGATCATAATCGAATTTCTCTTTCTAGAACTCATTATCGATCTTTCCAATGGGAAATATTTTCAGGAAAAAAATTTAGTCGTTGAACTAAATACTTTTTTTTTATTCTGACATCCATTTTCGTTTATGATTTCAAAATTTTGATAAAATTAAATTTTAAATGGGAAGGATTTTTTCCAAATATTGATAAAATGACAGCATTCGATAATTTATATTTGACACATTTCGTCACAAGGTCATCCAGGTTAAACTTGTCGATTCATATAACACAGGGGAATAAGAAACTGCGTTCGTAATTTAAGTTGTCTCCAATGATGAATCCTGTTTTTTTACTTCATACTTTTTGCCGCATTTTAACACAGACTTAACTGACACCGAAAGAAATGACTCGCATGGTCATCTAAATTTCAACACTAAAGAACATAGACAAAATACTTTATGATCAAAATCAACCTTGTAAGAATACTGTTGTAACCTAGGGAAGGTTACTGAATAGAATAATCAAATGGAGGTTGGTAATGAACGATAATACTTAGGAAAAGAACAACATATATAAGATTCCCCAGCGGCGCATAGAAGAAGTAGTCAGCTTCTAGAAGTGAGTCAAGTGAATTCCACAATGACATAGCCTCGTTTGGGGGATCCTCTCTACCCGGAGGCAGAGAGTTTGACCAGCATAGGTGGAGACGAATCTCCAACTGCAGGGTATCTACTAACCGCACCACGCGGTCAGATGTGGCACAAGGCCGAATTTAATGTGAGGTATCCAAGCCCGTAGGCTTGGCCAAAAATTCCTCGTAGACCCCGTTTTAATACGGGGTCGGGTAGCTGTTTCCCGAGAGGGGACTGTGCCTCGTCTGTGGGATCCTCTCTACCCGGAGGCAGAGAGTTTAACCAGCACAGCTGGAGACGTATACTACTGTATTTATGTGAATTGGGACATACCCATTATCGTCCGTAGGTATGCTACAGCAAAAATGTAAAATAATAATCCGAAATTTGAACTATTTAAAGATAAATCAAGTGTTTCAATACTTTTAAATGAAGATTTGTAAACTTATTTGATCCACAACTGATTACATTTTAATCTTCAAATATCTAATATATTTTTCCGCTAAGAAAACAGGAAAGTCACTGTTAATTATATCATTTTAATTGCTCGTACTTATAGGTTAAATATTTACGTTGAGGTTATAAGCCAATAGCAATTGTTGTTCCTTCAAATATTTTGTGGTCTGCACACAAATATTTGGTTTTCCCTGAAACTTTCAATAATTCCATTACAAATTCTTAATATGAAATCATTAAATACTGCCTAGAATTCTAAGTTGAAACATTTTCACCAATGAATGGTTCGGGCTAACATGTTCGGACTAACTATCCTTGTCATTTATTATGTTATAAATAAATCACAGTTGGAGTGACAAGATTTGCCTGTCCTCTTGAGTCAATCCCTTATTGCGATAGGATTTATATTCAATAAGAGTTTGCTTACTGAAAGAATTAGCAAAAGAAAAACAGATTTGAAAAGCTTTCGGGATTGCAATATTGTACAAGAGATAATCCCAATCCAGGCAGAAAATTAAGTAGCAAAGAATATTTCTTCTAATAAACTTTAGACGCGCATGCGCACACACATGTTTGAAAAGAAAATTAGCGAAGGCCTAATGTATTACAACTTATCTTTTAAGATCATTGAAGATTTGATATGTTATGAAATGTACGCATGCATATGTGCAGATGGATAATTAGATAAATATAGGCGCATTTAAATTGAGAATATACACATATGATTCGCATACGTATTCACATGTGTATTATACACACACGCACGCACACATACACACACACGCGCACACACACACGCGCGCACGCACACACACACACACACACACACACACACACACACACACACATATATATATATATATATATATATATAATTATTTATTTAAAAATATGATTCTAACTCGCGACATAAGAGGTCTCATGTTTCAAAACAAGAGCCGAAAACTTCAATATAATTATTTGAATTAAATTGAGTTAAAGTAAGCTCTGTTCCATCTTCAAGCGAATTTTTTTTTTGAATAACGTATTTCTGAAATTTACGTGTTTTAATAATTGAAATCAAAATTTCCATGGTAACAGCTAGGGCGAATTGTTTAAATTGGGTAGGCGTGTGTTGGGTGTTAATAATAAGTATCAGTATAGAGTTACTTTCATAGATGTCAAGTCAGGGTAAGATGGGGGTATCTAAATTTGAAACGGAAGATGTTTTAGCCTCTTATGTCGCGAGTTGGAATCATATTTTTAAATAAATAATTATATTTATGCTCTACTTTTGTATCGAGCACTGTTTTTTAAAAAATAATAACTAAAATACTAAGGAACTTTGGATTATTTACCTAACCAGTTCTTTTCTATATATTATATATATATATATATATATATATATATATATATATATATATATATATATCAACCAAATATATTTATAGTTATTTGTGTGTGTGTAAAAATCTTTTGTTTCTCCGTACTTTCATTTATGCATCCTATTTGACATAAATAGCATGTCGAAATACATACATATATATATATATATATATATATATATATATATATATATATATATATATATTTATATATATATATATATATATATATATATATATATATATATATATATATATATTTAACAGACAAGTATATATATATATATATATATATATATATATATATATATATATATATATATATTGATGGATACTAATATTCGAATAGAAGCATTGTTTTTTTAATTAAACAGTTTGTTTTTTTTTATCCAATTATATCTACCGGCCTGAATATTCAAGTAATCTTATCAGAAAAATATGCGTTAGGATTCGAAACTTCGTCCCCTATGGGAGCCGTCATCACTTCCGGTCAAACAAATCCCGAATTATGCCTTTTGAACTCACACTTCACTCCCGATTCTCAAAATATTCATATCTTCTCCGTATCTTATATAAATGTAAACAAAGACAATTTATTTTTAGGAAATGGATTAAATCCTATGTATTGTTATTTATTTATTTATTTTGTATATTATTTTTGATGGATACTCATATTCGAGTAGAAGATTTGTTTTTTAATTGAACAACATCTAGCCAACAACATCTACCGGCCTGAATATTCGAGAAATCTTGTCAGAAAAATATGCATCCTCCGACAGGTTTTGATTTTTTAATTAAAAAAATACAGAGCTTTTCTACAACACTTTTTCAATGATTACGGGTAGTTTTGGATGCAGCAAACGTCCCTTCCACACCCGTTCCCTGTGATAGAGATAGCAGTAGCATTTATAGTGATCTACGGCTGTGGCACCTTCTGACGTGAACCAGGGAAGGTTGTTCGGTTTTTGTTGAAAATGGTGACAAAGAATCTTCCGTCATGTAAGATTTGAACCTACACAGTCAGCTTTGAAAGATTGTCCAGAGAACGGGACATCAGGGAATACCTTTGATTTTCCATCAACTTTAACACTGCTATAAAGAAAATAAATAAAGTTTTTGCGTTTAGGTTTTGTGTTATTATTCATTTCTTTCTTTTTGTGTTTTTTTTTTTTTTCTAGTTTTGCTGTGGTTGTAAGTAGCTACTAAGTTTTATAGAACCGCCATGAAAACAAATTCCTACTTCGCTACCTACAATCACATTATGACTCAAAAGATTAAGTAATTAATAACACATAAACTAAATCTAATAACATTATTCCAAATAACAAGCTTTAAACCCGAGGAAAATACCTATCTATCTATCTATCTATCTATCTATCTATCTATCTATTTGACTCTGTTCATATCTATCTACTTATCTATCTATCTCACTCTGTTCATATCTATCTATCTGTACTGCATTGTGAATGGTAGTTTTTATGCCTTAGGCACTCATCTGGCCACATGGATTGATCATAGCTGAAGGCGTCAAACTGCCAATCTGCTTATATCTACAAAATGGGGAAGACTGTGCGATGTTTTAGGCAATGTTCCGCTGAGAAACACGAGATTGTATATATTTTACCGCGTATCACCTTCCTCAACAGCATACAATCCTTCAGGACAAAAGTTTTCTAATATGGTAGTTGCATCCTGTAACAGCACCTCTGCCAAACTGCACGAATTGTGCGAGAAAGGTTTCAGAGATAAGACCTCGCGGCCACGTTCACGAATTTTTCCAGATCTCAAACCAATTGAGCCCTTCTGAAATGTGTGGAACCAACAATTTTGCTTCGCAGAATGGCTACCACTTATTTTGCAACAGTTAAATGTCCTCCTGTCAACATCCTGATACGAGATCTAGAAGTCATATCGAGTTCATGCCTGATTAGGTAAAATGGGTTTTCAGACAAATGGAAAAACAGCACCTTATTAGACTGGCAGTTGTAATGTTTTCGCTCATAAATGTGACCAAGTTTCAAAACTGAATGGATGCTAATCTATTTCATGTATATTTAAAGTATGTCTATTGGTTTTATTGTTTGTTATTGTTTAATGGCATATCAACATCCTTATGGGTCATTTAATGCCGAAATATAATTTTCCTGGGAGTTTTGAAGTAATAAAAATATGATATACGTTATTCTCCTTTCACAATTGAGTACATGGTAGATTATACACAGCTTTTGTGCAGATGCATGTTTGTGTGGACATAATTACTAGAGGCGGTGATACGTGTGTTGTATGTTGTAGTTTTGTTGAAGTTATATTTTGGAATACACCCTCCTCAAAACCTCCAATCTCCCGATCAGAGGTCTTGCTGATGGATGTAGTTTATCGTCATACACAGGACTGTATTAGTTTCATCAACGATATATTCTTACAAGAAAATTTTATGATTCTGTACGCATTAAAAGTGAATTCATAGATAATAACACCTTCAGGTAATGTTTTATAGAATTTTCTTCGGATAATTATGTTACATTTAATAATAGACTATCATTTTCCACGGGCCCGTAGGAACCTTTTTCGATGAAAATAGACATTTTAGCTGTCATTCACTACAAATGTGCGCCAACAAAAAAGGAAATACGTCATTTTACGATTTCAGCAGACAAGAATGAAAAAAGACAGCGAAACAAATTCACATCGGCAGATAGAAGATACGTAAGAAGATAGTGTTCAACCTAAACTTGTACGCTGATCGCTTTTGTATATGTTAAGAAGGAGGAGATTTCATGAATAGGGTGACAAGGGAGGTAATTCAGTGATTTCCAAACATAGATTGCGAAGCTAAAGATCTCACATCTTTATCTTTTTTTAATTTTTTATAATGCGTTTAATAGAGCGAAACAGTTGTTATTTGTACTTTTAATTCTTTGCTACTTTTAGGATAACAAAACCTGTTCCAGAATGTTTGGGCTAAAAGACTCGCTTCAAGACATCACACCCTTTTGTAAGAATAGCGGTATGACTTTTCAGTCAAATCTTTCAAAGATTTTACGCTGATCTTGTGGTGATATATTTTATACGTTTAGTTCAACCGAATCAAATGTGATAAAAAAACGTTATATTTTGTCTTTCACTTTCTATGAATTCCAAATAAAATTCCGTCATTGATAAAGTGTTGGCACAAATGGAACAGCAGAAACTTCATTGCGATCAGCAAATTTGCTTTCTTTTATGCTACAACTTACGATAAAGAAACAAAAAGACTCTTTTCATGCGAATATAACTTAATGGGCCAAGTTTTATAAGAATATCTATCTATCTATCTATCTATCTATCTATCTATCTATCTAATCTTATTTATATCTGTTCGTAAAAGTCCAATGATATTTATATATCTATATCAGTCTTTTGAAATCTTCCTATCTTTGTATAAATATGTGAATTGCGAATATAAATATATATGCATAGATATTATAAACTTTAAAAACACACACATACACGCACACACACACACATATATATATATATATATATATATATATATATATATATATATATATATATATATACTAAACGGCCATCCAGTGGTTTCTGCATTCTCTTGAGGTTTCTTCTAGATTCGATGAATTACCCAATTATAATTATCTCAAATCCTCCTAATAATTTCTATCATTTCTATATCTTGCTTGAACACGCTTTAAATGCTCTGGATGGAGCGGCTTGGTGGGTAAGGAGAAACTCGGATCAGTTCTACCACAGAATATGTGACCGATCGGCGCTATATCGAGTCTAATTCGCTACTTCTTCGTCACCGAGGCCCGTTGGAACAGTTGGTAAACTCGATAAATAACTTAATTATAATATATATAATATATATATATGCGTGTGTGTATATTTAGAGGAAAGCGTGTTAAAAGTAGTTATTATTCAGCTAATTCACGATCAGTGATATTACCGCTTTGACGACTATGCGGTATTTATATCTCGCTTGTGCATTTTCGTAATGTAAATTGTGCCAAATACTTTGAAAACGATAAATTAATTCGCAAAAGGGAACTTAGTACTTAATAAGTTGAGTATTCAATATTGTTTACAATCTCCGGTCAAATTATACAGAAGACTAATTACTATTAATTTACCTTACGCTATTTATAAGAAAAAATCGGATCACTGGCAGCTAAAAGTTAAATTTACAAAACTCAGATGTATTATTGGTTAATAAATATATTTCCCAATTTTTAATATTGATTTTTAGGAAGGAAAAGTTTAATAATTATTTTATGGCTGTGAACCGTGAATTTTTTAACATACAATATGAAATGGGTGGCTGCTTGAATGGCAATCGAGACAACGTCACTGATTGGTCAATAATTTGATAATGTGGGAATTTGAATTTGATGTTTGTGTGATCCTATTTTTGCACAAACCTGAGATTTTAGTGACACTCGTTAAAACTACTGAATTGTTTTCCACTAGACCTAACTTTACCCCCCCCACACACACACACATAGAGAACAACGGATAAACATTTGCTCCAGTTCAAAAGACCAGGAAGGATCGTGAACCCGAATGTTCAGAAGCCAATCTACTCCTATTAAGCAAAACAAATAAAAATAAAATAAAATTAAAAAAAAAAAAAAAAAAAAAATAATATCCAGAGATATTAAGAATCATATATATATATATATATATATATATATATATATATATATATATATATATATATATATATATGCACATACAACCAAGTGGTTAGAAAGTTCGATTGCTGACTATGAGACCCGGTTTCGAAATTCAGCATGGGTAATTTTCAGGAAGATGACTTCTTGAATTTATCGCCTTGCTTAGGTGATTCTGGAATGACGACTGAAGACCATATCAAGGTTTACCTCAAGTCTTGTGAATTAAATAGATAAACGGAACAGTTCAGAAGCAGTCGGAGGTTGTGTAAGCACGTAGTTACAGGTCATTGTGACCGAGGTTTTAAACATACTTGCTTTGTTCAAAATGTTCAGTTTTATGTTGAGGTGCTCTCTCGCAGAACTTATTTCTGATCAGTACAGGTTGGCTATGTGCCTCAGCTGGCATCTGTGACAGGGATTTTCAAGTAGCTAGCGATTACACACACACACACATACATATATATATATATATATATATATATATATATATATATATATATATTGATAAATATAACAGACAATGAATGTCTATTATGTTTGATCATGACCCGTTCTTAGCATCGTATAGTGGCTTTAGTTTACGAATTTACGACCTATTCCGCGACTGCTATCATCGCATAGCAAATGTCTATGTAAACATAACAGGGTGTCATCTTTAATTGTAATCATCTCTGTTGTAATGTCCATATAACAACTCTGATGATGGTTCATGTGATCGGAATGCTTAGATCGAAGAACAGCCTAATAAAGAAATATCCAAATGTTGGTCAATTTTTGTCTTTATTTTCTCCCGAAACTAAAGCCACTATACAATCATAAAACTTATTCGTTGACTGTTATATTTAACAATATAGGTTTTAATACATATATATAATAATAGCCTCTCCCGTCGTTTTCGATGTATGAGGATCTGACAGCTTAATTGATTCAGTTATGAAATGTTGTGCGATAATCTTAAGTGGTACTTAAGACCCGCTGGTGATTTACAAAGGAGGCCACATATCGAGCAAGAGTGACGATTGTGGAGTGAGATCACTGTTAGATTGGCTGACTCTTAGATCTTGCTCTTGCTTCTTGAAGATGATTCAGACTAGCAGATTGAAAACTGCTGAGTCCACTAAAACACGCCAATCTACATTCTATCCGCTCCAAGGCTAAGCGCTCAAGGTTGTTATGAGGTATATTGACAGATGACAAGTTGTTCTTCAGCTTATCTTTGTATCTTAGCCATGGGCATTCTATCTTCCTGTAGCAATATATATATATATATATATATATATATAATGCACATTATACACACATAAATACAATCTACTTAAAACTATTGAGGTTGGAACAGCTAATTACTATTATTTAGTGCTTTATGGTTGATTTCATTGTTATTAGTCGATCCTTGAAGATTCTGAGGGGGGTGCATGTGTTTAGATTGTTGCTTTGTGTTTATGCCTGATTAGGACATGTCAAATGTTTAATGTTCGGTTGGAGTAATGAACACGGTATATCGAATCATTCCATGAACTGAGTAAACAGACAACAGGAATCAAGTGCATGGTTTAAGTGCATTCATGGGATAAACAGATTGGATCATTGAAGAATGAATGGCGCGCACACGCTATCACAAGTGATTGGCACGCCTATTTGTGAGCTAATTTGTACTTCTTTACAAGTTGGTCGCTAATAATATCTAAGTATGGCTTTACGGTTCAGTGAGAACTTTGTGTGTAATTTTCGTTTTTCGTTGATTATACTAATTACTAATCCAATTCTATTTCCCTGTTTGGTCATTGAGTTTTCTGAGTTGAATATACAATAGGGATTTTTTTTTTTATTTTAAACCATGTCGAGATTCGGGGTAGAAATATTTATTTTATGGCTAATACTTATCCTGTTGTAGTCAGAGGCTGAGGTGTTATTTCCTATTCAGTCTTGATATATCTGACTGATTTTCGGTTGATATCAAAGAAGGTATGCTTTTAGATTGGCGACCATTCTGCATCTGTGTACACCTGGGTTTTCTGCAATCTAACGGAGAACTAACAAAGCCTGGTGGTATCAGGAGTTACTGCTGGAACAACCCTTACTTAGTAGTAATGATGCCATGTGATGCTGGAAACACCACTGTTACAGACTGTTGTTAGAGACACCACTCTTGTTGCTGTATCAATAGTCATATATATATATATATATATATATACCCAAGTATATAATTGGTATATATGGAATGAATTCCAATAACCAACAATTACTATTCTTAAAAGAGTGCTCAATACAAAGTAGAGCAGATATAATTATTATTTATAAAAAAAAAATTATAACATAAGTATGTTATAAAATCACTACAAAAATAGCCATTTTGTTTCAACACACTCGGTGTCTTATCAAGTGATGATGTTGAAGATAAAATAAATGGTTTTAAAAGTTTCAGATTAATTAACGATCCTACACTAAGGGGAAACATTGTTACAAAAGCTAGAATTACCAATCAAAAATCAAGTATAGAAAGATTCAAAAGCTTGACAACGAAATCATGTTATAATAGCTATTCAGATCTTTAAAATACGTGTAATATTAAAAATAATTTATACTAACCAATAATTAAAAAATTATATGATAAAATTTAATATTAAAATTAAAAACTGGCAATTTTAAAATCCAAATTTAATCCCTATTAAGTTTAAAAACTACAAAACTATTGAGAAAAGAAAAAATATATATGTTTATTCAATTTATTTCTTCGTTGAAATTACGTTCGACAAGACACTACAATATATCCGGTCATTTGACAATACATGTATATATATTTTTTTCTTTTTCCCTTTCTTTTCCTTTTTTATTTTAAAGTGTGTGAATGTGGTCTTAAACTCACGCGCAAAACAACAAAAACACAATCTGATTATAATACATAAGCACCCAGACATATTTAGATATATATACACACACAAAAAAGGGGGGGGGAGAAAAGAAAAGGCGCATGAGACAGGAACATCACTACAACCCTTTATGAAAAAAGGAAACGGGGAAACCAACACCTAAACACACACACAATTAAATGTGATTACACGTATTTTAAAGATCTGAATAGCTATTATAACATGATTTCGTTGTCAAGCTTTTGAATCTTTCTATACTTGATTTTTGATTGGTAATTCTAGCTTTTGTAACAATGTTTCCCCTTAGTGTAGGATCGTTAATTAATCTGAAACTTTTAAAACCATTTATTTTATCTTCAACATCATCACTTGATAAGACACCGAGTGTGTTGAAACAAAATGGCTATTTTTGTAGTGATTTTATAACATACTTATGTTATAATTTTTTTTTATAAATAATAATTATATATATATATATATATGTGTGTGTGTGTGTGTGTGTGTGTGTGTGTGTGTGATGGTAATTGTTCTGATAAGCTTTGCTCTCTAGTATACGAATTTAAGCGCTGTACTAGATAGGCGGCTAAGTCTCATCATTTTACAGTTGAAATGGCTAAATGCAACCGTAAATTCTATGCTAATAGTTTCTTTTCTCGCACTTATCTCTTGTGGAATTCTCTTCCGGCCTTTTACTTTCCAGTCTCTTCTGATGTTCAAAAATTTAAGTTCGATCTCAATCATTATCTTCTGTCTTCTTCATTCCTTTTCTTTTACTGATCTCTCTCCTAAATAATGTTTT